GCCTTTAAAATACCTTTCTTACCAGAAACTGGATCATTAGATAAATCTGCCTCAGTGCTAAACTTACATTCTCATTCCCTCTTCATCATCTTATATCCTGTCTCATGTTTGAGATGCTTGACTTACACAGCAGTATAAGACATATTCTTATTCTCTGCCTAAGGGAAAATGCTTTTCTAGAAAACTTGGATCTGAAACTGTTTAATTTAGATAGCTACAAAATTAAAACTAGGCTTTATCACATAAGTCTGCTATTTTTCTCTAATGGGGAAGGAAAATTATAATAATCATTGGATTTAGCTTTGAGTTCACTTAAGAAAAACACATATGTGCCAGGCTCTGGTGAATCAGACCTGTAATCCTAGCAACTCAGGAGGCTGAGATCTGAGGATCGCAGTTTGAAGCCAGCCTGGATAGGATATTACAGGACACTCATCTCTAATTAACTACCAAAAAGCCAAACATGGGGTTCTGGTTCAATTGGTAGAGTGCCAGCCTTGAGCACAAAAGCTCGGGGACCACACCCAGGCCCTGAGTTGAAGCCTCAGGACTGGGACAAAAAAGAAAAGAACAACAGGTATGAGTTGGTTGGTATTGTATAGTTTGAGGTTTCCCAGACTTCACGGGGTACATATACCTTGGAGATTTTGGTATTTCTAAGCAGTGAACAGGGCTAGATGTCATTGACCTCTATATCTGTTTGTGTTCAGTCTTCAAGTTACTCTTCTGTTTTGTAAGTATATTAGCTTCCTAGGATTGTTGTAACAAATTATCTCAAAGGAAGTTCTTAAAATAACAAGAATTTAAAAAAACAACAACAACAACAAGAATTTGCCAGGCACCTGTGGCTCAAGCGAATAGTCTTAGCTATTCAGGAGGCTAAAATCTGAGGATCATGGTTCAAAGTCAGCCCCAGCAGGAAAGTTCATGAGACTCGTATCCAGTTAACTACCAAAAAAGTCAGAAATAGAGCTGCAGCTCAAATGATATAGCACTAGCCTTGATCAAAAAAGTGTTGGGACAGTGCCCATTCCCTAAATTCAGGCCTCAGTACTGGCATAAAGAATTTGTTCTCTTAAAATTCTAGAGGTCAGAAATCCAAAATGAGCCAGTCTTGACTCTGCAAAGGCAGAGGCTTTATGGAGATTGTAATCTCTGAATTGGAAAGCTCTGGGACCATCAACATTGATTGATTTTTTTTAGCTGAATGTATCATTTAGTCACTGATTCTTCTTCTTCTTAAATCTCCTCTACCTTTGGCTTATAAGGTGATTTATTGCTTTTAGCCTCCATCAACTTATTCCAGAATCAGTTCTTCATCAAGATATTTAACTTAGCATCAATAATCTTTTGTCAGTCATGGTGCTTGAACTCAGGGCCTGGGCACTGTCCACTCAGCTCTTCAGCTCAAGACAAGCGCTCTACCAATTGAGCCACAGCACCACTTTTGGTTTTTCTGGTGATTTATTTGAGATAAGAGTCTCATGGACTTTCCTGCCCCAGCTAGCTTTGCACCACGATCCTCAGATCTCAACCTCCTGAGTAGCTAGGATTACAGGCTTGAGCCACCGGAGCCCAACAGCATCAATTATCTTTCTCCCAAAAGGGCAGCACCCACAGGTCCTGGGAATTAAATATAAAAGTATCTTAAGAGGGGCTGGGAAGGTGGCTCAGAGGTAGAGCGCTTGCCTTGCATGCCTGAGGTCCTGCTTAACCAATACCTTGTTAAGGCACTCTAGTAATTTATAGAAATCGGTTGAAGTATTCAGCAAAATGAGTCATTGTCTCTTGCTAGTCACTCCAAACAGTGAACTCTGTTCTAAACATATTAAATGATCCCCTCTTACCCACAAATGCAAAGTATTATGTAGTAAATCCCAGGTTTTTTGGTTTTCTATTAGCTTTCTCCCTGTGCAGCACCAATTAACTTTAATTGGTCAAGATACTTAGTAGGGAGGCTGGGAAGGTGGCTCAGTGGTAGAGTGTTTGCCTCACATGATGAGGCCCTGTGTTCGATTCCTCAGCACCACATAAACAGAAAAAGCCGGAAATGGCACTGTGGCTTGAGTGGTAGAGTGCTAGCCTTGAGCTGAAGAAACGAGGGGCAGAGTTCAGGCCCCACGACCAACCAAAAAAAAAGATAGTAGGAAGGCCATTTTGTCCCCACCTGACCACCTACATGTAGAAGACACATATATACACAAATATAAATATATGTATACTTATCTAATTGGTTCTGGTCATATTATTAATACTAAGTCTTCCTTAAGTGAAACCAACAAGCATTTTTCAAGTTGTCCATGAAAAGGAATGAATAGAATAGCTCTTAGATGGCATCATTCAATTATATGACTATTCAGTCCTATGCTCTGTGAAATGTCAGTTTAAACAGATCTATACCTCCTGAGAATTAGTTCCTTTATGAGATCATGTTCTATGCCTTTGCTTTCATTTAACAAAGAACTTGGACAGTTTTTCTCCTTAGAAAATTGTAATAAGCATTAAATATTTCCTTGATAGCATCTCTTTCTTTGTTCTTACAAAAATATAGGCAAACATATTTATCTTTAGCCTGAAAATACTATTTTTTTCATACTAGAGTTAATGAAGCATAGACAAATGTATGTATGCTTTTATGTGACAGTCTATTGTTTAGATGTTACCTAGACTTTTATTACTAAACTCATTTCTGAGTTAGCTTAAGAACATACACTTAAGGGCACAAATTTCTGTTGCTAAAAAAGACAGAATTGCCAAGCTAAGGCCACCATTACTATTTTTGTCATGCATGTTTGCAAGCTAATGCACACCTTTCTTTGCCCTTGAGTTACTCACAGACCTGTTGAATCAGATGATCACAAAAGTCTGAATTGTAGTTTTACGAATTTATCATCATTCCCTAAATCTCGTATTTAAAGTTTCCACATACTTAGGGATCCCTTTTAGGGATGGGATTTGAAAGCCCCTTAGCTGTCACAGCACCCTTATCATTCCTGTCCTCCTCACCTTTGAGGAATTCACTAATAGCAAAATAAAATTCTTTTGATAAACCAGATAGGTAAAAGGCTAAAGACAATGAGACTAAGGATATTATTTAAGTTCTAAGTATAAAGATAACTATGTGTGTGGTGTGTGTGTTGGACAGATGCAAGGGGAAGGAGAAAACACATCTGGTGAGAAAGAAGCACAGTAAATATAGCATAATATATATAATTACAAAATATGACAGAGTTGAGATCAACATGAGTCATACCAATAAATGTGTATGTCTTAATACCTATTAAAGAAATATATATTGGCTACCAGTGGTTCATGTCTGTAATCTTAGCTACTCAAGAGTCTGAAATCCATGGATTTAGATTTGAAGCCAGTCCAGGCAGGAAAGTCAGTGAAATTCTTATCTCCAACTAAGAATTATTTCTAAGTAATTTAAAGAAGTGATGGGAATTGAAACTGATAGATTATAAATGGATATTTGTTGCTTATTTTAGGAATTTAAGGGTTATTTAAGGGTAATTTTGTTTTAAGGCCCCAAGTTCTGAGTGCTCTATCTTGTCATTTGAGTCATGAGCTCCCAAACCCTCCTCAGCTCTCCCAGAATTGTGAGTAAAATATTTCAACCCATGGCTGTGGACAACGAGAGGGGCTTTTGGCCCTGCTAGGATTCACACAGGAGCTACTGGGGACAGGTAGATGCTGTCTGTTTCTCGTTGGAGTCTTGTCTCCCCTTTGGGGAAGGTGTAAAGCACTCAGAACTCGGGGGCCTTAAAACAATTGTTTTAAGTTCTGAGTGCTCTACCTTGTCGTTTGCATCCTGAGCTCCCAAACACTCATCAGCTCTCCCAGAATTGCAAAGAAAACATTTAGAGCAGTTACTGTGGGCAGTGTGAGGTGCTTTTGGCCCTTCTAGCATGCACACTGAAGCTGCTCGGGATAGAAAGATGCTGTCTATTTCTCTTTTGGGGCTTGTCTGTCTTTGGGGAAAGTGTAGAGCACTCAGAAGCTGGGGGCCTTAAAACAATTGTGCCTTAAAACAATTGTGTTTTAAGGCCTGCAGCTTCTGCGTGATCTATCTTGTCGTTTGCATCCTGAGCTCCCAAGCACTCATCAGCTCTCCCAGAATTGCAAAGAAAAAAAATTAAGATTTGTCACTGTGGACAGTGTGAGGGGCTTGTGGCCCTTCTAGGATGCACAATGGACCTGCTTCTTTTTTTATTTATTTATTTATTTTGGTTGGTCGTGGGGCCTGAACTCTGGGCTTGAGTGCTGTCCCTGAGCTCTTCAGCTCAAGGCTAGCCCTCTACCACTTGAGCCACAGCGCCACTTCTGGCTTTTTCTGCTTATGTGGTGCCGAGGAATCAAACCCAGGGCCTCATGCATGCAAGGCAAGCACTCTACCACTAAGCCACCTTCCCATCCCCCTTTACAATAGTAAAAAAAAAAGTTTAAATAATTTTTTTAAATAAAAATAAAAGGGCTGGGAAGGTGAGTTTGTGGTAGAGTGTTTGCCTTGCATGCATGAGGTCCTGGGTTCTATTCCTCGGCACCACATAAGCAGAAAAAGCCAGAAGTGGCACTGTGGCTCAAGTGGTAGAGCCCTAGCCTTGAGCTGAAGAGCTGAGGGACAGTGTCCAGGCCAGAGTTCAGGCCCCATGGTCAACAAAAAAAAATGTCAATAAAAATTATTATAAAGGTGATATAAAGAGGAGTTACAATTACATAAGTCAGATAAAGCGTACACTTCTTTTTGGACAATGTCACCCCTTCCCTTACTCTGTCCCAAGTTTATACAAAATGTTTTAAAGTGACCTATATTGTTTAAATTCAAGGAGCTCAAGAATAATTCAAAAGAGGTTTCTTTTATCGAGAATAATCTGGCTTTTCTTTTCAGTGTGTTGGAGATACTTATCTTTTTGGAAAATAGACAGTGGTAGAGAATGGTCTTTTCAAAAGGAGAACATTAAAAATAGTGTTAATTCGTACGGATGGTCTTCTAAGGTATGTGCAATGTATCTTCCCAGGTATTCCGGAAGGACCTCATCAGCGCTATGAAAATTCCAGATACTCACCACATTAATCCTGATAGCTATTACCTCTTTACTGACACATGGAAAGAAGAATGGGAAAAGGGAGTCCAGGTCCCAGCCAGTCTGGACACTCTGCCAGAGCCTAGTATCAGGTATTTACATGCTTGCATCATTGACCTAGGGTATGAATACTCTCATAGCTGTGTATGCTTTGGTCGGGGAGGGAGGAAGGAACTTACCTTGTTCTCATATCATGTTTACCAATTCACTGAAACCAGTGGCACATTGTATCAAATCATGATAGATCAGTAAAGTCAAGATCATTTCTTTCGAAATGTATTATGAGCCTATTTATAACATGAAACTGAAGTCCAATCCGAATTCATGATAGGATTTTGGGAACCAAGATTTCCAAATCTGTCTCAATAATCAATATCATTTATTAAGCCTTGAAGAAAAAGATGATTAATTAAACCTTCCTCCTAGAAAATTACCTGAATATAATAGAAGCCTCTGGTGATGATGTAAATATAAGATCAAAGCATACAGTTTATAAATTTCAAACCTAAATAAGGGGATAGTAGAATAATTGGGTTAACTATAAGTACATATCTTTTATTTGTGAGAACTTGAGAAGGTAGTTAAGTAGAAGTGGACTTTGGTTTTGTAGGAAGGAGAAGATTTTTCTTCAAGAGTAATGATTTCAGCTCAAGAGTAATGGCTGTAGTTTTCCTTCATATGTAGAAGCTAGAATTAGTTTATAAATACATAAGAAAATATGTTTAGTGGTGTGCAAGTATATTCCAGTGTATTAACCAATATGGAAGATTCAAGGGAGAACTCAAATAATGTAATTTCTTAGAAAGGCAAAGTCAAATTTCAACAAAATAAACACCAGGATTTGGGTTCTTGAAATGGATAAGGGAGGATCATAGCAAGAGGAGTAGACAAATAGAAGGAGAGGAGAACACAGTCAAGAATTTAATGTATATCCTAAAAAAAAAAATAAAGAAAAGTGAAGAAAAGAGTAGGTTGGGAAGGATGGTTGATAATGTTGAAAGGGATGACATTGATCAAATGCATTGTATCATAAACTGCTTTGATAAATGACAATTTATTTGTACAAGTACTTAAAGATAATTTTTTAAAAGAGTAGTGGCTAGTTTTGGAAAACATTTTCTTTTACAGGTCTTTGTGTTCTCAATGTTTTACACAAAAATGTTCAGTATAAGCTTGAGTGAAAGAAGGAATGAATAGAGCATAGAGCTCCTGGGCAGAGGCTAGTGGGACCTGCTGGTTGCTATGAGAAATTGTAGATCTCATTGTACATCTGTTTCTGTCCCATATTAGGCTTCTTTTTTGAGACTATGCAGACCAGGCTGACTCCAAAACTTGTAATCATGTCTCAGCTTCCCCAAATGCAAAGATTATAGGCATGTACCATCAAAGCTGGCATATATTAGTTTGTTGTTTTTTTTTTTTTCTGTCGGTCGTGGGGCTTGAACTCTGGGCCTGGACACTGTCCCTGCACTCTTCAGCTCAAGGCTAGCACTCTACCACTTGAGCCACAGCGCCACTTCTGGTTTTCTAGTACTTTATTTCTAGTAGTCTCATGGACTTTTCTGCCCGAGCTGGCTTTGAACCCTGATCCTCAGATCTCAACCTCCTGAGTAGCTAGGATTACAGGTGTGAGCCACCGGTATCTGGCTTGTATTTGGTTCTTAAAGGGCAGAGATAAGCTTCTTTGGATTCTGTGTTCCTAGTACCTAATTCTAAGTCTTAGCCATGTTCCAGACATGCTTGTCAAATCACTTTTTAGCAACCCAGTCTGTCACAACTCACAAAGAGGTTGTGCACACTGAAGGAAAGTTCCACTGACTTCTTCAACACATGTTCTGATCTTCACTCACTCACTTGTCATTTACACCATCTTCTGCCTCCTAAATGTCAGAATAACTCGAATGAAAACAAGATTAGGCACTTTCATGTCCTTGTTATCAGCATTTTTATATAAACATGACAATCTTGCTTGTCTTCCATTCCATTGGATTGGAATGCTGGAGGATTATTCCAATCCAAGCATTATTGAAACATCTCAGTCTTGGTTTTGATTCAAAATCAGTATCATTTGTCACTAAATGGAGGCAATATTATTCTTGCAGGTTAAATGGAAAAGGTTACATGTACCATTTTAAAAATGATAAGTTAGGAAACAAAAATAGAATAGCAATGTTAAATTTAAAGGCTTTAGAGTTGGTGGCACGTACTCCCTAATTTATGTAAGGTTTCAGAGCTCTATTTGTTCTGAGCATCTATAATAGTTACCATTAGTACTGTGAATTTTCTGAAAATCCCTTATTTCTCAGAATTCTTTGCCTATCACAAAAAATATTTCACTTTAATTAAACAAAACAGACTATTAAATTTTTTTTTTGGTCCAGTTGTGGGGCCTGAACTCTGGGCCTGGGCACTGTCCCTCAGCTCTTCAGCTCAAGGCTAGTGCTCTACCACTTGAGCCACAGCGCCACTTTTTTCTTTTTGCTTATGTGGTGCTGAGGAATCGAACCCAGGGCCTTGAGCAGGCAAGGCAAGCGCTCTACCACTGAGCCACCTTCCCAGCCCCAGACTATTAAATTATTAATCATTAAATTTTTAACTGGTTGCTCTTGATAGTTAGAATATATTGTTCTGTATTTCTTAGAAGGCATCAAAAAGGATCTTTCTGTAGTATATAACCTTCATTCTCAAGTTTTAGGCTACATCAGAATCTCCTGGAAGACTTACTAACTTCACCCCAGAGCTTTTGGAGTCAAAAAAGCACACAAACCTACTTGAAAAATAAACTAAAGCAGAACAGGCTGGGGCATGGCTCAAGTTGTAGTCTTGCCCTGGCAACTACAAAGCCTTGATTTCAAACCCTAAAACCATCAAAAGAAAAATAGTCCAACAGTGACTATTCTAAGAGCTAAGAAATAGAATCTGGGGCTGGGAAGGTGGCTCAGAGGTAGAGCGCTTGCCTTACATGCATGAGGCCCTGGGTTCGATTCTTCCACAGCAAAAAGAAAAAAGCTGGGAGTGGCACTGTGGCTCAAGTGGTAGAGCGCTAGCCTTGAGCTGAAGAGCTGAGGGACAGCACCCAGGCCCAGAGTTCAAGCCCTACAACTGGAACCCCCCAAAAAAATAGAAGCTGATCTGAGGATGTGTCTTGCCCTAGCACTTCGCTACTGTTCATAAGCAGTAGGTTCCATCCCAATACCATAAGAAATATTTGAAGCTGCTCATCTGAAGTCCTATGCTCAGAAACTAACACAGTATTATTTCCACCATTTTTGGTGTTGTTGGTCATAGGCCTTAAACTCTGGGCTGCAGCACTGTCTCCAAGCCCTTTTTGCTCCCAGCTAGTGCTCTACTACTTTGAGCCAGTTCTGCTGATTAATTGGAGATAAGAGTCTCATGAACGGACTTTATTTTCCAAGTTGACTTTGACCATGATCCTCAGATCTCAGCCTCCTGAGTAGCTACATTTCCAGGTGTGAGCAACCAGCATCCAGGTATTACCACCATATTTTATTAATGCTATTTGAGAAGGCTGCCAGATTAAAGGTGGATCCCATATTTGTACAAAATGAGTTCAAAAGATTTGATACTATCTTCAGTTTACCCCACTACTATTACTCTCTTTTTTTTGTTCTTTTTTTTTTTTGGTAAAACCTTGAACCCAAGGTCTTGCATTTGTTAGGCAAGCACTGTAACTTGAGTCACACCTCCAGCCCACCTTTGTTTTTGACTTGATTTTTTTGCATTGTTGCCTAGGCTGGTCTTGAACTCCTGGGCTCAAGTGACTTTTCAAAGAGATTGCTATCACTTGATAAATGCTTTGAGTTTGTAGAACTCTTAAGTGTTTTCAACTCATTTGCATAGTGAAAATAATACATTTAACACTCACTCAGGCTACTGACACCAGCCATTTTTTTACAATATATTAAGCCAAACACATTATTTCATATAATAGTCATGCAATTTGATAGTAATCGTAATTTATCATTATCCCTACTTTTTTCACAAAAAAAAAACCCTGAACCTTAAATCACTTCCCAGAATCATCATACCAAGTAAGTGACAGAAAACAAGAGGCTTGTGCGAATCGAAAGCCTGTGCTTTGTACCAACATCCAGTATTGTCTCCATGACAGAAAACTGAATTTAGCTCAAATACATCTTTGATGTGCAATCTGACCATACCTTTGTGCAGATATCACCCTTTCTCATCTTTCCCTTTCTAAATATACTACATGACCCTTACTTATGTCAAGAACAAAATTATATACAGTGGCATTATAGTAGAGTCTTAGACTCTATGAAGGTGAATAAAGCATAGCAGTGAATTCACAGCAAAACACAATACAATTTGCAGAACCACTTGTTTTCTAGAAAGAGATTTACCATACTTCCCAGAGGGCAATGCAAGTCATATAGAGTGCCCCAGCTCCACTCAATAGCCTTAATACTGGGTGGCGGAGGATTGGGTGGGGGGACAGGGAGAGGCTGGGAAGGGATGGGAAGGGGAAATAAAGGAGGAGGCTACAATGCTTGATATGAAATGTACTCATTATCTTGCCCATATAATTGTAACCCCTCTGTACAGTATTTTCACAATAAAAAATAAATTTAAAAAAAATAGCCTTAATACTGTTGGGCCCATTCAGTCCGTGCCTGGGACCTGTCAATTGTTAAATCATACCTGTACCATTCTCTTGCTTTTGTAGGATTATATCTGAGAAGGTAAATAGTGTTCCCTTTGTCCTACCTCGGAAATACATTCGTTGCTCCAGCCCAGACCCTGAAGAGCCTGGCTTTGTCAATATCATGGAGTTGTCAGCAGCTACATGTCGCTATGATCTGGATGACATGGATATCATTTGGCTTCAAGAACTCAATCATGACCTTACAGAAATGGGTAAGTTGTCTTCTTATAAGTAGTGAGTTGACTCAAACCCATGATTTTTTTCCTCAAAAGTTCTTAGGATCTTTTAAATTTGCAATAAACACTGTACTTCTTTACTCATGATTTTTCTTGACTGGAAAAACGAAGCAGAAGGCCCAAGTAATTTCTTTTGGTTCATAATAATATATGTGTGTGTATCTTTTATATATATATATATAATTTCACCGTAATATTTAACAGGAGTTTCTTAAGACATTTTACATTGTAGATAAAGTGAGAATACTTAGGTAAATGATTTGTTTGCCATTATGAAGGTTAAACTTGATGCTTGTGCATGCTAGGTATATGTTCTGCCGCTTGAGCCACACCCCAAGCCTATCTTAGATCTTTTTGAGAATTTTCCTTAAGCCTTTTTTTTGTCAGTCATGGGACCTAAACTGTGGGCCAGGGTGCTGTCCCTCAGTTCTTCAGCTCAAGGCTAGCGCTCTACCACTTGAGCCACAGCGCCACTTCAGGCTTTTTCTGCTTATGTGGTGCTGAAGAATCGATCCCAGGGCCTCATGCATGCAAGGCAAGCACTCTACCACTAAGCCACCTTCCTAGCCCTCCTTAAGTCTTATAAGCCATAAGAATAAATATATATTCTTACAAAATCGCTAGTCATAAGAAGAAAACTCTTTTGTTGTTATGTACATCTGACATTTGCGTATTTTAGTTGGGCTGAGTGTAAAAGACTAAGAAGAAAGAAAAGTATCGAAGGAAAAAGTAGTCAAAGCAAAAGAAAACCAGAATTACAATTAGACCTTTCTGAGTTTGTATTGTACTTTGTAATTGAAAGTACTATTGGCCTTTGCCAAGCTCCATCTAAAAAGAAGGCTAAAGACAGCCCCAAATGGTAAATATAGGCTATACTGCCTTTTCCCTATAGTATGTGTATACAATGTGCTTTTCTTTGTTCTCTCTCTCCACCCCTCTCCCCCTCTTTCCCTCTCCAACTCCTCCTTCTTCCTCTCCCTCTCCCTCTTTCCTCTCCCTCTTTATTCTCTCTCCCCAATCTCTCCTCTTTCCCCTCTGTCCCCTATCTCCTCTCTCTCATTGCAGGGTTTGCACTCAGGGCCTGGGCACTGTCCCTGACCTCTTTGCCAACAAGTGCTCTACCACTTTGAGCCACAGCTCCACTTCCAGATTTTGAGAGGTTAATTGGAGATAAAAGATTCATGGGGGGGGGGCTGGGAAGGTGGCTCAGTGGTAGAGTGCTTGCCTTGCATGCATGAAGCCCTGGTTTCAATTCCTCTGCACCACATAAGCAGAAAAAGCCAGAAGTGATGCTGTGGCTCAAGTGGTAGAACACTAGCCTTGAGCTGAAGAGCTGAGGGACAGCGCCCAGACCCACGACTGATCAAAAAAAAAAAAAAATCATGGGGACTTTTCTGCCCAGGCTGGCTTTGACCTGCGATCCTCAGATCTTAACCTCCTGAATAGTTAGGATTATAGGCGTGATCCACCAGTGCCTGGTGTCAAACCTGGCTTCTAAAATGCCAATAAGCATTTTAGCTCAGTGGTAGAGTGCTTGCCTTGCATACATGAGTCCCTGGGTTCAATTCCTCAGCACCACATAAGCAAAAAAAGCTGGAACTGGCACTGTGGCTCAAGTGGTAGAGCACTAGCCTTGAGCTGAAGAGCTGAGGGACAGTGACCAGGCCCAGAGTTCAGGCCCCACGACCGACAAAAAAATTGCCAATGCTATTCAATTTTATAAAGTAAAGATAACGTAAAAGTTTATTAGAAGAGAAATACAACAATTAAGTGTTGTAATCCTAGCTACTCAGGAGGCTGAGATCTGAGGATCACAGTTCAAAGCCAGCCCAGGCAGGAAAGTCCATGAAACTCTTATCTCCATAAATTAACCACTAGAAAACCAGAAGTAGAGCTGTGGCTCAACAGCCGTCAGGCCCTAAGTTCAAGCCCCACAACCAACAAAGAAAAAAAAGTCAGGTTTGAAAAGTATTTCATATGTATAATTATGTACACATAGTACCTAAATCTTGCTTTTTTGCCTTAATACATTTTGTCTGAATATTTCCTCATATAGCTGTTAGATGTGTTTATTGAAGCCAATTAACTAAGAGAATCATTTGTATCCAAATAAGTATATAATGTATTTTATGCCACAATATTCAGAATTACAAAGCATGACTTATTTCCTTCCTCAGTTGAAATATGAGAGAGTTAGGAGGAGACTAGCTGTGGTTTAGATAGAAAATTGAAAGTGTCAGTAATAAAAATATTAAAGAAACAAAATGAAATGTACTTCTCATGTATCAACCACTAATAATATTATAGGTAAATATTAGAGAAGCAGTAGTAAAAAAAAAACTCTGAAATCTGGTTGAGAGCAAAACTAGTTTCAAATGAAACCCCACCTGGTTGTAAAATCTAATATATTCTTTTAAAAATGCTTAAAACACCAGGCACCAGTAGCTCATGCCTATCTGTAATTTAGCTACTTGGGAAACTGAGATCTGAGGATTGTGATTCAAAGCCAGCCCAAGCAGGAACATTTGTGAGACTCTTATCTCTAGTTAACCAGCAAAAAGCCAGAAGTGTAGCTGTAGCTGAAATAAAACTTGCCTTGAGCAAAGAAGCTCAGGAACAGTGCCCTGAGTTCAAGCCCCAGGACTGGCACAAAAATGCTTTAAAAAAATGAATCCAACCCTTTCCTGCTGTTTGCACATAGTAGGTGACTTGGGAATAACAGTTGATTGATGGGTTGTTTGTATTTCTGTACAGGTCAAGAGTCAGTTAATGAGACACTTATGGAAAAGGTCATAGAAGCCCTGGAACATCTTTGCCATGAACGCATGAGCCATGCTATTAAGACAGTAGAAGGATTAGGCATAGAGTATGATGAAGATGTGATCTGTGATGTGTGCCGCTCTCCAGACAGTGAAGAAGGGAATGATATGGTATTCTGTGATAAGTGTAACATCTGTGTGCATCAGGTTAGTACCATTGGAGATCACCACCTCCGCATGGCCAGCCTTTCTGAAGCTCACTGATGATATCTATCACCCATATCAGGATAGCAATGTATATTTAAGGGTAAAGGTAAAACTTTGGGTTGTTGTTCTTCAGTATTTCCTCTGGAAACAATACTTTAAATCTCTGAGATATCTTAGCTACTAACTTTCTAACTTGGCTAAACCCAAATCTTTAGTTTGTTACTTCATATCCACACCATTGGAATTACCTTGTTGATTTTTCCAAGGAGTCCCATGCTTCCTGCCTGGGAGTCTCTGCTCAACCTTAAAATCACTATGATATTATTGGTTTATACTTATAGTTAGTAACCTTGATTTGTTTATACTTCATGCCACATTGGAAAGCCACATTCCTTATCTGGTACCTAAGGCTCTTCCTATGCACTACTGTCAGGCAACTAGCCTCACCCTGTGATTTAAATCTAATTGACTGCTTTTGTTTTTGTTTTTTGGTGTGGGGCTTGAACTTGGACCAGGGTTCTGTCTCTGATCTCTTTGATTCAAGGTAGCTCTCTTACACTTTCAGCCACAATGCCTCTTAGGTTTTTTTTTTCCCTGGTAGTTAATTGGAATGAGTCCCAAGGACTTTCCTATCCAAGCTGGCTTTGAACCACCATCTTCAGTTCTCAGCCACATGAGTAGTTGGAACTACTGGCATGAACCCCACACCTGGCTTAAAATACTATCTTAACCCCTTAATTTTGCAAAAATACAAGAAAAGGTTATATTAATTTACTTACATTATCTTTCTTTCTATCACACTGCCTAATAATAACAAGGTTAATGTTGCAAGACTCATTTCAGCTTACTTTCCCCACAAGTGTATTGATGAATATCACTGGCACTGTATTGTCTCCTAATTCCAGCTGTCAAAAATCTACATATCTTCCAAGATCAAGTTCAAATCTTTTCTTAAGTGAATCTATTGTGTTGTGTTCATATTATTACTTTATCTAGCAAGCACTGTAGGTATTCAGCATCATTCATGAACCTGGACTATACTACATGCTGAAGACAATCAGTGATGAAGAGGCAGACATGCTCTCTGCCACCCCCCCAGGAAGATCATAGTCTGGTGTAACTACTACAAGAAATTGCCAATTTAGCATAGTACTTCAAGGGGTCGTTTTAGATATAAATTCATGCTACTATAGAAATGCATATAAGGGATAAAGGTTAAGGAAAATTCCCAGGAAGTGGCAACCCTAACAAATCTTAATGACCAAAAGGAGAGGTCAGGTGAACCAGCAAAATTTGTTCAGGCAGATAGGAGAACACACTGATAGCAAGTAGTAAGAGTAGGATAATCATGTCAAAGACACTTCTGTTTACTTCATAATGGAAAGGTGGAACAGGGAAGGCCTGAAGACTGAGGACAGAGAAAGGCAAAGGGAAAACATGTGAAGGATCTTCTAACAAACTACTGAATATCTTTCTTTTCCTGTCAGTGCTAAAAGATATAATTTGTAATTTAGAAAAATAATTATTTTACAAAACTAAAATGACTAGATAACATAGAGAAAGAAGTCAATCAGTAGTTGACACTTTAACTCCAGGGCTACCTAACTTAATCCTTTGTGTGTCAAAAGTATTCAGAATTTTCTGTGACCAATTTCTTCATTTACCTGTATCCTTTAAAAGTGTGAATTTTGAAAGTTTATAAGTTCCATCAGTTATTGGCACTTAAGACACACGTTCAGTGAGAGCAGAAATTCTTTACCATTTAACTACAAACTTAAGTATTTAATACATTTCATAGTCCCTTCCCTGCAATTCCAAAATTAAAAAGTGCTTAATGACTACACTTTTGCCTGAAGTTCTGTACCACAACTAATTTGTGAATATCAGAACTAAACCAATGTGAGGCCATTTATATTCTTTACCCATTTTGTGGAAATATTATTTTTAGAGAAATATTAATGTATTTGATTATGTCATGCTGCCCTTTATCTCATTAGTAGTTAGATAGTTAAGTAGTATACCATGTTACTATTGTATGTTGTAAAATGTGACCAATTCTGAACTTTCCAATGTTTCTTCTCTTCAAAGGGTTTTCAGATAAATGATTGTAGATCTGTAGTCGGCTTGAGGGGAGTAGGGCAAAGGTTGTTTACATATTCTTTAGTTCCCTATTACATCTGGGACAATGTAATAAAGAATTATTTTCAGATTCTTTGGTTAAAAAATTAAATGTAGCATAATTCTCCTTGAGAGTATGCTTGTTTTTAAAGCATTCAGTAATGACTATTAGATACAGCTTCAGATATTCCCTTGTACATTCATTTGGATTCTAAAGAGCTATGTAGGTTAGAGCTCCCTCTGTTGACTGAAAAGTGACAAAACAATTTGGTAAAAGGCAAAAGATCTATCCCATCTGAAGAGAACCAGAGTATCGTCAAACAATTTGGAAGGTCTAGTTTACTCCCTAATATAATAGGGGCATATTGCTATCTGAAATTATTGAACGAATTTTTCTTCCTTACCAAATCTTGTGCGATGCTTGTTCCTCAGTGACAAAGATACACTCACAGTCAGTACTTTAGAAGTATACCAGTATTTTAGATTTTACTATTCCACTAAAAATTTTTTCTTTAAAAAAATGTGAGGGCTGGGAATGTGGCTTAGTGGTAAAATGCTTGCCTAGCATGTATGAAGACCTGGGTTTGATTCCTCAGTACCACATAAATAGAAAAAGCCAGAAGTGGCACTGTGGCTCAAGTGGTGGAGCAAAAGAAGCTCAGGGACAGTGCTTAGGCCCTGAGTTCAAGCCCCAGACTGGCAAAAAAAAAAAAACTTTGAAAGTTAAGACCATTCCAAGTCTCTTTCATATCCATTTTCTGCTTAGCCAAAATATTGAACACTTAGATTAAAAATTTGCCTGAAAGTATGTGCTCATCGTTTTTACATCATGAATATAACACTTGACACTGAGTTTATTAACATCCTGAAATTACATGTAAAATATATGCCTTGCAGTTTTCTTGAGTGTAAGCTAGCTGAGGAAGGATGAGAAAGGTCTGACTACACAGAGTTGACCATGTAGCACAGGGAAACTACCTAGATGTACACATAGAAGTGAGAATTTAAATGGCTAATTACAGAGGAAGAGGCCTAGTTTTCCAAGTTTGGGTGTCCTGGGGAATGGGAACAAATAGCACAGTGTTAGGACCTGTGGGTTTTAGGTTAGAAGTGAGCAAACTTTAAAGGGCCAGAAATATTTTAGGTGTTGCCAGTCACATATAGTCTCTGTTACATAAACTTTTTTTCTTCATGCCACTCTTTAAAAATATAAAAACTAATCTTAGTGTTCACCTTACAAAATAGGTCAGGAGCGGTAGCCAGTACTACTGTTGATGGGGGAAAAGGTAGATGAGGGCAGAAAAAAACCCTGAAGGATTTTGATGCTGTGCAAGAATATGAAATCTTAGCCAGGTGCTGGTGGCTCATGCCTATAATCCTAGCTACTCAGGAGGCTGAGATCTGAGGATCGAATTTCAAAGCCAGCCCAGGCAGAAAAGTCGTGAGACTTCTATCTCCAATAAACCACTCAAAAACTGGAAGTGGCTCTGTGGCTCAAGTGGTAGAGCGCTCGCCTTGAGCTGAAGAGTGCAGGGACAGCACCCAGGCCCAGAGTTCAAGCCCCAAGACCGACCAAACAAAAAGAATATGAAATCTTGCATTTTAGATAGAAGGTGTGAAAGTGGAGGAATATAATTTAGAAATAACCCAAGCATGGTGTTGATGAGAACTTAGGTGAAACAGTAGTGGTAAGGGTGGGGATAGATAGTAGATAGTAAGGTCAGAATCTCTGGACCACTCTAGAGGGAAGAATAGCAAATACCCAGGCCACTGGATGAAGGTAAGTGGTGTTCTAATCCAAAAGTTTCATCTGGATGGTCGGGTGCCTATGGCTCGCACCTGTAATCCTAGCTACTCAAGAGGCTGATATCTGAGGATCTCGGTTCAAAGCCAGCCTGGGCAGGAAAGTCTGTGAGACTCTTATCTCCAATAAACGACCAGAAAACCGAAGTGGCGCTGTGGCTCAAGCAGTAGAGCGCTCGCCTTGAGCTGAAGAGCTGAGGGACAGCGCCCAGGCCCAGAGTTCAAGCCCCACAACTGACAAAAAGTTACATCTGGATGATCTGAAAGAAACCTGGCTAGATATGGAAAGGAGTTTGGAAACAGTAGGTTGCAGGAGGGGCAGGGGTGGATGGATATGATGGTAATTGTTCTAATTTGTATCTGATGGGAGGGTGAACCAGAAGTTTTGAAGCTTCCATGTTGAATCAATTGGTGATGGAAGGTTTGTTAGACCACACAGAGAGCCACCTGTCTTTTAGGTTTTGTCCCAAATATAGTAAAACATTAAGGAAGGAAAGATGGTAAAATGGGATGTAAAAAAAATAGAAGTCAAAAGGACTAGTTGATGGGAATAATTTAAGTGGTAGAGCATTTTCCTAACAAGAAATACCTCTGGCACATTTTCCGAACTCTAATCTTCCATATCATTCATTATTTTTTTTATTTCTCCAGTTTGATTCCATAAAGAAATTTGAGGAGCTTCCAGAATTCATGAATTATTGCAATTAATACAGTATTCTATTCAAGATTAAATCCAATTCCCCTTTTCTTCAACCCAAGTAAAAACTACAATTTACTGATTTTATGCAAGAGGCACTATTAAACCCTTTAAGACATTAGCTTATTTGCTTCTCAGAAGTTTATTTCTTAATTTATTTTCTTGATCACAACTGTGCAACATGTAGAAGTTGCTTAATAAGTGTTTAACTTACTAATTATAATGTGTAAACATTGTAGAAAGTTTAGAGAACAAGCCAAATAAAAGGTCTGTATCTCAGATGACAGTTGAGCTAGCTGCTGAGAGTATCCCTTCCTAATCTTGCTCTATTGTCCTTAAAGTCAATTCTTAGGAACATATGTTCTTTCAGATACTGCAAATTGGGTTTTTTTGACTGCTTTTAAATGAATCCTGGAAAGCTTTTTGGGCTTAATGTGCCTCTCTCACAAAAGCAAAGGGTGCTCTGTTTTCTGTATCAGAGCAGATGTATGCGTAGATGTCGACTCTTCTCTCTCCTACTTACATCTCCAGGCCTGCTATGGTATCCTCAAGATCCCACCAGGCAACTGGCTGTGTCGTTCCTGTGTTCTGGGTATTCGTCCAAAGTGTCTATTGTGTCCAAAGAAAGGTGGAGCCTTGAAATCTACCAGGAGTGGGAGTAAATGGGCTCATGTCAGTTGTGCTCTATGGATTCCAGAGGTAAGAAAACATCCCAGCCTAAGGCCATTTGCTTCAAGATCTCCTCCCTCCACCCCTCATTCCCAACTAAGACTTAGCATGGAGATTATTCCTGCTCACTCATGTTTGTAAATGTATGTATATTCTTCCACTTAAACTAAATCAGATGTTTCATGGATGCCAGTGTGTGTGTGTGTGTTTACATACATGCTGATTGCTGTAGCTGGTACTCCCAGTGGTGTGAGGTTATTTGAGAGAAGAGATAGAAAAGAGCAGGATACCATACTGTTTTTGTTCCTATGGCTCTCTAGTTTGAAGTCTGGTATTGTGATACCACCCACATTACTTTTTTTTGCCTAGAATTACTTTTGCTATTCTAGGTCTTTTGTAGTTCATGTAAGGTTTTGGATTGTTCTCTCAAAATCCCAACATCACAGCTGGGAGTATGGCTTAGTGATAGTGTTTGCATGCATGCATGAAGCCCTGGGTTCAGTTCCTCAGTACCACATAACAAAAAAAATAAAACAAGTGGTGCTATGGCTCAAGTGGTAGAGTGCTAGCCTTGACCAAAAGAAGCACAGGCACAGTGCCCAGGCCCTGAGTTTAAGCCCCAGGAGCGGCAAAAAGAAACCACAACATCATTTGGATTTTGATGGATGTTGTATTCAATTTGTATATGATTTTTGGTGGTATGGCCATTTTTCACAATATTGGTTCTATCTATCAATGTACATGGAAGGTCTTTCCATTTTCTAGTGACCTTAGATTTCTTCAGCTGTTTATAGTTGTCACAATAAAGATCTTTTACATCTTTGGTTAGGTTTATTCCTAAGTATTTTATTTATTTTTATTTGAGGCTATTGCAAATGGAGTTATTTTCATGATTTCCCTGTTTGTACATTGTTGGCATACAGAAATGTTACTTTTGAAGATTAATTTGGTATCCTACTACTTTGCCAAAATTGTTATTCAGTTCTAGGAGCTTGGGAATGAAGTCTTTTGGGTTCTGCAGGTATAAGATCATGACATCTGCAAATAGGAATAGTTTGATATTTTTTCTTTCCCTATGTGAATCTCCTTTGTCTTTTCTTGCCTTGTTGCTCTGACTAGGAATTTCAGAAATATGTTGAAGAGGAAATGTAGAGAGTGGACATCCTTGCCTTGTTCCTGATTTTAGGGGAAATGGTTTTAGTTTTTCACCTTTCTGTGAGATGTTGGCTGCTGGTCTGTCATAGATGGCCTTTGTTGTTTTAAGGAATGTTCCTTCTATTTCTACCCTCTCAAAAGCTTTTTACATAAATGAATGTTGTATTCTGTCAAAGACTTTTTCTGTATCTTTTGAGGTAGATGACATGTAGTTCTTGTTTCTGTCTCTGTTGATATGGTGAATTTCATTTATTGATTTGCATGTGTTAAACCAGCCTTGCATCTGTGGGATGAAGACTACTTGGTCATAATGTATGATTTTTTTGTTTCTGGATTCTGTTGGCTAGTATTTATTGAAGAGTTGTGCATCTGTGTTAATCAAAGAAATTGGTCTGTAGTTCTCTTTCTTTTATTGGATCCTTATGAAGTTTTGAGTCTGAAATTGCTCTTTCTGTTTCCTTCATGGAAAAGCTTGAGGAATACTGGTATTAGTTCACCTTTAAAAGTCTTACTAGAGGGCTGGGAAGGTGGCTCAGTGGTAGAGCGCTTGCCTTGCATGCCTGAGGCCCTGGGTTCGATTCCTCAGCACCACATAAAGAAAAAAGCCGGAAGAGGGCTGGGAAGGTGGCTCAGTGGTAGAGCGCTTGCCTTGCATGCCTGAGGCCCTGGGTTCGATTCCTCAGCACCACATAAAGAAAAAAGCCGGAAGTGGCGCTGTGGCTCAAGTGGTAGAGCACTAGTCTTGAGCTGAAGAGCTGAGGGACAGTGCCCAGGCCCAGAGTTCAGGCCCCACAACCGGACCAAAAAATAATAATAATAATAAATAAATAAAAAATAAAAGTCTTACTAGAACTTACTAGTGAATCCATCTGGGCCTGGGCTTGTCCTTTTTGGAAGACTTCTGATTACCTCCTCAATCTTGTTATTGGCTTGTTTAACTGGTTTATATCTTCTTGGTTCAGCTTAGGCTGTTTGTATGTCTCTAGAAATTTGTCTGTTTCTGCTAAGTTTTCCTTCTTTTTTGAGGTTTTGAAAGTCCTTCCTAATCATTTGGATTTCTTGGATGTTTGCTGTAATGTTTCCTGTGGCATCTCTGATTTTATTCATTTGAATTTCATCTCTTTTTTTCATTAGTCTTGCTAGTGCTCTATCAATTTTATTATTTTTTCAAAAAAACAGCTTTTTGTTTCATTGATTTTATGTGTAGCTTTCTTAGTCGCCATTTCATTGATTTCTGCCCTAATCTTTGCTATCTCTCACCATCTAGTAGTTTGGGATTTGGTTTGTTCTTTTTCTAGCAGTTTTTGTTGCCTTATGAGGCTACTTACTTGAGCTGTTCCTGTTTTCTTTCTATTTTTCCAATTTTTTTGTGATTAGTGTGTTTCTGTTTTCTTTATGTGTGGGCTTAGAGCTATGAACTCTCAGCACTGCTTTTACTGTATCCCAGAAGTTCCATTGTGAGAGGCTGGGAATGTGGCTTAGTTGTATAGTGCTTGCCTAGCATCCATGAAGCCCTGGATTTGATTCCTCAGTACCACATAAACAGAAAAAGCAGGAAGTGGCACTGTGGCTCAAATGGTAGAGTGCTGGCCTTGAGCAAGAAAAGCTCAGGGACAGTGCCCAGGCCCTGAGTTCAAGCCCCAGGACTGGCAATAAAAGAAAAATAGACCCAAAGATCAATGGAATAGATTAGAAGGCCCAGAAATAAAGCCATGCCCTTACAGTTACTTGATATTTGATAAGGGAACCATATCTGGTGTTGGGGAAACTGGGCATCCATAGGCCGAGAAATAAAAGTCCATCCCTGTTTATCACCATGCAATAATATCAATTCAGAGTGATCAAAGACCTCAACATCAGACATGAAAATTTTTAACTGCTACAAGAGAGAGTAGGACAAACATTAGAACTTACAGAGATAGGTAGAAACTTCTTGAAAAGAGTCCTAGGGGTTGGGCTGAGAAGGTGGCTCAGTGGTAGAGTGCTTGCCTTGCGTGCCTGAGGCCCTGGGTTCGATTCCTCAGCACCTCATAAACAGAAAGGGCCGGAAGTGGCACTGTGGCTCCAGTGGTAGAGCTCTAGCCTTGAGCTGAAGAGCTGAGGGGCAGTGCCCAGACTCAGAGTTCAGGCAGGCACCACTACCAACACCCAAAAAAAAGAGTCCTAGGGGCACAACAGATGGGAGAAAGATTTGACAAGGTGTACTCCCATCAAAATAAAAAGTTTCTACACAGCCAAGGATATAGTTAGTAAATTATAAAGACAGCCAACAGATTGGGAAAATATGTTTACCAGCAATACATCAGTCAAAGACCTTATATCCAATATATACAAGGAGTTCAAGAAACTAACCCCTCACAAACCTAATAAACCAAACACATTTAAATGGGTAAGGTAGCTAAGGAGAGACTTCTCAGAAGAAGAGGTAAGAATGGCAAAGAAACACATGAGGAAATGCTCATCATCTGGTCATAAAGGAAATGCAAATCAAAACAACTCTGAGATTCTATCTCACCCCAGTTAGATTGGCCAACATTGTGAATTTGAACAACAAATGTGGGTGGGGATGTGGGAACAAAGGAACCCAATAGCACTGTAGGTGGGAACATAAACTAGTACAACCACTCTGGACAGCAGTCTGGAGGTCCCCCAAAAGTCTGTTTGTAAACATAGACCTTCCTTACAGCCCAGCCATACCACTGTTGGGTATCTACCCTGAACATCATGAACCAGGATGTATGATATACTAAGGACACCTGTACATCCACGTTCATTGACACACTATTAACAATAGCTAGGATATACAAACAGCCCATACACCCCACAATAGATGTGTTTATCCAAAAAATGAGGTACCTGTACACAATGGAATTTTACACAGCCATTTGAAAGAATAAAATGTCATCTGCAGGGAAATGGTTGGAACTAGATCAAATAATTTTGTTAGGTAAGCCTAGCTCAGAGACAAAAAACCATGCATGTTCTTTCTGATATGTGGGAAATAAATCTAGAAGACATTGGGATATGCTGTTATACAGGATTGTAGATACTTCCACACAAACTAAAAGAGCATATTCTTAGGAAAGAAAAAGGCAAAATGTCTACATGTCTCTTCATATTTATAAAATTAGAGAGAGGGGGCTGGGAAGGTGGCTCAGTGGTAGAGCGCTTGCCTTGCATGCATGAGGCCCTGGGTTCAATTCCTCAGCAAAAAGAAAAAAGCTGGAAGTGGTGCTGTGGCTCAAGTGGTAGAGTGCTAGCCTTGAGCTGAGGGACAGCGCCCAGGCCCAGAGTTCAGGCCCCACGACTGGACCCCAAAAATAAATAAAATTAGAGAGTAAGAAACTCCAAGATACAGAAACAAGAGATCTCTCTTTTTTATTTTAATTTTTGATGGTTCCATCTTCTTTATGTATGGTATAATCAAGTATTTATCTTCAGGGGGGTGGGAGGGAGAACTCGAGGGGAAAAGGGTGAAAAAAATGCATCAGTGGAGCTCAGTGGACATGGAAGAAAGTGAATTACACAACTGGTGGGTAGAGACAGGAAGGAGGGACTGGGAGATGATGAGGGCTCATAAGACACTGTATGAAAAGAAATATACTCATGTAATTGTAATCTGTATATTGCCTTTATAATAACAATAAAATTAATTATTTTTTAAAACTTAAATACAAACCGGGCACCAGTGGCTCATGCCTATAATCTTAGTTAGCTACTTAGGAGGCTGAGATCTGAGGATAGCAGTTCAAAGCCAGCCCAGGCAGGAAAGTCCATGAGACTTGATTTCCAATTAACACCTGAAAACCAAAAACCTTGAGCAAGAAAGCTCAGAGAGTAGAGTGCTCACCTTGAGCTGAAAGCACAAGGACAGCGCCCAGGCGCAGAGTTCAAGCCCCACAACCGACAAAAAAAAAGCTCAGAGACAGTGCTCAGGCCCTAAATTCAATTCAAGCCCTATGACGTACAAAAAATTTTAATACAGCAAACTTTCTCAAATAGGAGCATTTTTTTATGTTTCCTAGTTCCTACTTTCCAGTACCTTTTGGACTATTCTAGGTTAGAACTTGTGCTAGTTTGGCCATCTTTGACAGTTACTCACTTTTTTAACTTGTTTCTCTCTTAGTCATGCCTATATTTGTAAAATTATATGAACTCTATTTTTCATACAGAAAAGAGTTTGTCCAGGGCTGGGTAGGTAGCTCAGTGGTAGAGCGCTTGCCTTGCATGCCTGAGGACCTGGGTTCGATTCCTCAACACTATATAAGCAGCAAAAAAAAAGCCGGAAGTGGCACTGTGGTTCAAGTGGTACAGCACTAGCCTTGAGCTGAAGAGCTGAGAGACAGCGCCAAGGCCCAGAGTTCAGGCCCCATGACCAGACCCCCCCAAAAAAAGTTTTTCCATCTTTCTTTTAAGTATCCCTTGCTTTTTATCACTATCCTAAAAACCAATTTAACTTTGAAGCTACTTTGGTTGAGGTGTAGCGTCAACCAATAGTAGTTAGTGGATTGAAAGATTTGGCTTTGATATGTTGTCTTTATTTCTACTTATATCTTATAAATTCTTCCTTACATAAAATTTCTGCTGTTTCTCGAGCTTTACAACGTCGGTGGGGGGGGGGAGAGGGGGGAAGGAGAAGGATTGGGATTGGGGGGGAGGGAGGAGGCTGGGAAGGGATGTGAAGGGTAAACCAAAGGAGGAGGCTGCAATGCTTGGTAAGAAATGTACGCATTATCCTGCCCATGTAATTGTAACCCCTCTGTACAGTATGTTCACAAATAAAATTAAATTTAAAAAAATTTCTGCTGTTTCTGGGCACTGGTGGCTTACATCTGTAAATCCTAGCTACTCAGAAGGCTGAGATCTGAGGGTCACGGTATAAAGCAAGCCTGGGTAGGAAAGTCCAAGAGACTCTTCTCTCCAATAAACCACTCAGAAAACTGGAAGTGGTGCTGTGGCTCAATTGGTAGAGTGCTAGCCTTGAGCTAAAGAGCTGAGGGACAGCACCTAGGCCCAGATTTCAAGCCTCATGACCAAAAAAAAAAAACTGGTGCTTTCCAGCAATATTGGGTTTTATAAATCAAATATAAAGACATATCCCTGCCAGTTTTTATCCTTTGCTATTAAATGAATCAGCAAGAAATGTGGCATCATCTCTAACACATGACAGATGTTATAGGATTTGTGAATTTGAATTCTTTTCCTTAGCCTTCTCTGGTTCCTAAGTAAACATGAATGTTTTTGATTAATTGATAACATTGCTCAGTCTTCATTTTTACCCTTTCATCCCAAATGTGAATCATTTGCACTTGTGGACATGATTGAAAGGCTGAGAAGTAGTTAGAGATAATGTTTTATTTATTCTTGGTTCCATACTAACCTTGCAAAATGGGACTTAGCTCACTCACTGTTGCGATGTTCTGAGCTTCTTATACATCATTTCTGGCTTATGAAAGGTACTTCTGCGATGCCTTAGTTCTTTTTGTTTTTTGTTAGTTTGTTTTTTGCGGGTCCTGGGGCTTGAACTCAGGGCCTGGGCGCTGTCCCTGAGCTTCTGCTCAAGGCTAGCTCTATCACTTGAGCCATAGCACCACTTCTGGGCCTTTCTGATTAGTTTCTTAGAGATGAGTTTCATGGACTTTCCTGCCCAGGCTGGCTTCAAACAACAGTCCTCAGCTCTCATTCTTCTTAATAGCTAGGATTACAGGAGTGAGCCACTGATATCAGGCTTAATTCTTGTGTCTTATGGTGGTATTTTATTTGTAGGTCAGCATTGCTTGTCCTGAAAGGATGGAACCGATCATAAAGATATCCCACATACCACCTAGCCGATGGGCCTTAGTTTGCACCCTGTGCAAGTTGAAGACAGGAGCTTGTATTCAGGTAAGTCTCCATGAAAAGTGGTAGGGTGAACAAAAACCAGATTGTCCCTACTACTCTCCCAGTACAAGTGTTTTATGAACCGAAAAATTATTCAGGAGGTTTCCCACTCACACCTACAGTGCTAATGTTATGCTAACCACTTTTGGAAATCACTTTTTTAATGTTGCCTCTAGACCCATTCCGGTTACTCTTTCTATTCGTAGTATTTGCTAGGTACAGTAGTATACTCCTGTAGCCGACTACCTGAAGGCCCAGCTATTCAAGCAGTTGAGATGGGAAGATCACTTTAGTCTAGGAATTTGAAGCCAGCCTGTCTTTAAGAAGTATTTGTAGTCGTAGTTAATCTTTGTCTTTTACTGATGAGTTAACAGAAATCTTGACACCAGACTATGATAGTATTTGGGATTGAAATAAGCTAGATAGAACTCTAAAACACGCAGTCTATGATATTGTGTTACTTACCTATTAACTGTAAATGCACTTGAGATCCAAGATGACTTGGATGATTTTATAGATGGTTCTGTTATTGGGCTGAGTGACCTTTTTTGTTAGGGAAAAAAGATGCACTTGAATGGATAAAATCTGGTGGTTACTTTTGCAAGTCATTATCATAATCATATTTGTTATATATGGTAATGTAAGTAAAGCTTTCTGGGACATCTGAGGTATAGGAATTCAAATGAAGGAGAAATAGTTGTTGTGGTGGCACCTAGAAGCAGCAGTTTGAAGGTAACACAAGAATAAGATGGAAAGCCAGGCCACAATGACTCACACCTATAATCCTAGCTACTCAGGAGGCTGACATCTGAGGATCACAGTTCAAAACCAGGCCCAGGAAGGAAAGTCCGTGACACTTATCTCCAATAAACTTCAAAAAAGCTGGAAGTAGTGCTATGGCTCAAGTGGTAGAGCACTAGTTTTGAACAAAAAGCAGCTTAGAGCCAGGTGCCGGTGGCTCACGCCTGTAATCCTAGCTACAAGAATAAGATGGAAAGGGTCGTTGCCTCCAAAAAAGACACAAAAATTGACTTTGTACTTTTGTTTTTCATAATGTCATTTTAGTTTCTAGTCCAAATGTAATTTTAGTGACTCTGCTAGCAAGAGGGAAGGAAAAACTAAGCTTCTACTCCTTCAGACTCCTGCATGTGAGCTACAGGTGGTTGGAATTGGATTTGCCTTCTAACTTTCTTTATAGAAAAGGGGCTATAAAATGGCAAAGTTTAGGACAGTTGTTCTAGGTGTTTTGTGTGAGCTTCCTTACTGTCATGTCATGTTCTAGATTCATCTGACAAAACTGAATGCTTCCTTTGTTCTTTAGAAACTTTTATTTGGCTAACTTTGTTTAATTATAGTACTGTAATATATAAAGGAAGCTGTTTCTCTACACTCTACAATGACACATTTCCTGTTTCTGTGTACATTCTCCTTATTGGACCCTGTATGTGATCTCCTTGAAGGCCAAGAGTCTGTGACTTTGTCCTGGCATGAAATAGAGTAACTGCCCCATATATGTGTTCAAAGAGTGTTGAGTACATACATGTTCATTTTATTGCACTGTAGATTAGTTTGTGATGTGCATTTCCCCCTCTAAAAAGTAAAATATTTTCCACATTTCCATAATCATTATTAATCATTTTATTTTAGACATTGAATTATTGTCCTTACTGTGGTATCTATATTTCCCATTATTTTTACTGTTTTAAAACATGATTTCCTGGGCTGGCTTTGAACTGCAATCCTCAGATCTCAGCCTCCTGGTTCCATGATATCTCCCATTAACCAGTAAAAAGCCAAAAGTAGAGCTGTAGATCAAGTACAAAAGCTAGCCTTGAGCACAAAAGCTTAGGAACAGCACTCAGGCCCTGAGTTCAAGCCCCAGGACTAGCACACAAAAAACACATTTCTGTACCAGTTATTAATTAGTAACCTAACAGTAGTAAGAAAACGTAGGCATTTTTTAGCAGTACTAAGATTGAACTCCAGCACTTAAGCTTCTAGCTCTTTTTGCTTTAGGTTATTTTTCAGATAGTGTCTCATTGGCCAGTCTCAGCCAGTGATCTTTCTCCCTATGCTTCCCAGGTAGCTGGCTTGCTTATTGTCTCACTGACTTTTACCTAGACTGACCTTGAACTGTAGTCCTCCTGATCACTGTCTCATGAGTAGATAGGATTGCAAGTATGAGTCAGTCACCACGACGGGCTTTATTTTTCTTTTCTCCTTTTTTTCTTTTTTCTTTGCAATGCCAGTAGGTAAAACCCAGGACTTCATACCTGCTAGACAAGTACCCTACCACTGACCTATCTTCCCAGTCCAAACTTCTGAGTATGTGGAATTTCATTTATCCAGGATAATAAGTTACAAGCAATAAACATTAAAAAGCACATTACAAGATGGCTATGTGCCATGAAAAATAAAAATGTGGAGCTCAGTTATAAGTTTAAGTCAAGGTGGTAAGGGTAGAGCATCTTGAGGTAGGTGGCATTTGAGCAAAGATTGGAAAGCAAGAGGAAAAGCAGTACAAATGTTCCAGACAGTAGAAGTGTTCCAGACAGATGGAGGAATGGTCATTTAAAAGACTATGAGATATGAGTGCCTGTTCACACAACAAAAGAGGCAAGCAAGATCAGGTTGTAATATGTGGAGAGAGTCAAAGAGATTACATGGAGAGTGGCTTATTGGTTAAGGAAAGGGACTAGCAGACTTATATGTGACCACATAGCAAATATGTTAGGCTTTGTGAGTTGTATAGTATAGTCTCTGTCACAACTACTCGGCACTACATTTGCAGTACAAAGGCAGCCACATATGATACTTAAAACAAAGGAGCATTACTATATTCTGACTGTCTCTATTTCAACAAAACTTGTTACAAAATAGTCTTTTGATTTTTTTCTCCACTATTTAAAAATGTAAAAAAAAAAATGTTTCGAATTTTTTTCTTTTCCTTTTTTTTGTTGTGAGACCAGGACTCAAACTCAGTACCTCATGCTTTACTGGTGATCTACCAACTGAACCACATCTTCAACCTTTGGGAAATTTTTAAATTTTTTTGTTGTTATTATAAAGGTAATGTACAGAGGGTTTTCACTTATATAAGTCAATAAATGAGTACTTTTCTTTTTGTACAATGTCACCGCTTCCCTCACTCTGAGTTTTTCCCTCTCATCCCTACCTACAATTTATATAGTTCATTTTCAACACAGTGTCTAGTGAGTAACACTGTTGCATTTGTTCGCCCTTTGTCCCTCCATTTCTGTGTGGAATTTTTTTATGTAAAAACTTAACTGCAGATAATAGCTTATTAGTAGAGTGTTTGCCTAGCATGCACAAGGACCCAGTTTCAATCACAGCACCATAAAAAATGTAAAAACTTCTTAGCTCATAGACAACATAAAAGCGGGTGACTAGCTGGGTGCCGGTGGCTCACACCTATAATCCTAACTGCTCAGGAGGCTGAGATCTGAGAATCATGGTTCAAAGCCTGCCTGGGCACAAAAGTCTGTCAGACTCTTAGCTCCAATAAAAGCACCAGAAAACTGCAAGTGGCACTGTGGCTCAAGTGGTACAGCGCTAGCCTTGAGCTGAAGAGCTCAGGGACAGCGGACAGCACCCAGACCCAGAGTTCAAGCCCCACAACAGACCAAAAAAAAAAACTGGGTGACCAGCTTCATTTGCTTTTTGAATCTCCGGATAAGATTTTTCAGTACCCTTATAAGATCTTTGGGGTTTTTTAAAGAGCTTAAGAAGGAGCCCTTTGGGCTTGGAAGGTGGCTCAGTGGTAGAGTGCTTGCCTTGCATGCATGAGTCCCTGGGTTCAATTTGTCAGTACCACATAAGCAAAAAAAGCCAGAAGTGGCACTGTGGCTCAAGTGGTAGAGTGCTAGCCTTGAGCTGAAGAACTGAGGGACAGCGCCTAAGACCAGAGTTCAGTCCCCCCCCCCGAAAAAAAAGAAGGAGCCCTTGGCAAGTTTTGTACAGATGGATGAAATGATTCGGAAACAATTAGGAGGAGTAAATATAAAACAAGATCAGCCATGTACCAATAATCATTGAAACTGGATGATATTATATAGGATTATCACTGTACTCTATTACATAAGTTTTAAAAATTGCATATTTTAACAGGTTAAAAACAAATCTGAACACAGGTATTGTAGTGTATATCTGTAGTCCTAGCACTCAGGCTATATCAGAAGGATAGAGACTTTGAGTTCAGCCTAGCCTACATAGTGAGTGACAATCTAAGATATTGGTAAGTGAGAATTTGTCTTAAAAACAAAGCTAGTGTTTATGTCTATAATCCAAGTTACTGAGGATTGAAGTTCAAAGCTAGAGCAGATAGGAAAGACTGTGAGATTTTCATCTTCAGTTAACCACAAAAGGCTGGAAGTAGAACTGTGGGTCAAATGGTAAAGCAGTAGCCTTAAGCAAAATAGCTCAGGGACAGTGCCCAGGCCCAGAGTTCAAGCCCCATATTCTCACACACACATAGAGAGAAAAAACCACTTTGACTGTTTTACTCAAACTATGAAGACAGAAGTTTTGAAACCAGAAAAGCAATTAGGAGCCTCTTATATATAGCAGTGCATGGGAAAATGGTTGCTTATCCCTCAATGGTAGGGCTGGAATGGTAAGAATTGGCTGGAATCTGCATGAATGACAAAGGTGGATTGAACAAGAGCTATTGTGAATCAGATAAGTGTAAAAGAAAATAGGTGTTAGGATAACATCAGGATTTTGACTCAAACAGTAAATATAGCAGAATATTAGCAAGCAGGAAAATTCACTAAGCCTTAGTGTCAAGATGATATTGAGGGCTGGCCACATAGAAACAGCTAGCCATCATTGTGACTGACCTTTGTCTCAGGTCCCTCCAGAGGCCAGGCTTATATTGCAAGGCCCAATGGCTGCAGCATAAATTCTAACATAGGCCATCTGATTTGGCCCAAGGCCTCTAGTAAACTTGGGCTGAAAGGTTACCTCCCAGGATAAATGAAAACGTCCATACAAAATTTCTGAACAAGTTTTCATAGCATTATTTCTTTTTTGTTTGTTTTTAGGGTTTGGGGGGGGGGTTGGTTGGTCGTGGGGCCTGAACTCTGGGCCTGGGCACTGTCCCTCAGCTCTTCAGCTCAAGGTTAGTGCTCTACCACTTGAGCCACAGTGCCACTTCTGGCTTTTTCTGCTTATGTGGTGCTGAGGAATCGAACCCAGGGCCTCATGCATCTGAGGCAAGCACTCTACCACTGAGCAACCTTCTCAGCCCAAAAGCATTATTTCATAAAAGCTCTAAAAGTGAAAAGTATCCTGATACACATCAATTAATGAATAGATAAATACAGTGGAATAGGTGTTTTTGGCCATAAACAGCATTGAATTTTTAATACACGCTACAACAAGGATAAACCATAAAAGTGTTATATGCAACAGGTCACACACATATTTTATATGACTTCACATATATGAAATGTTCAATAATTGCTACTATGTAAAGAAAGAAAAAGTTGATTAGCAGCTTCTTGAAGAAGAAAAAAAGAATGACTGCAAATGAGCATGTGGGATAATGAAAATGTTCTGGAATTAGGTAGTAATGATGGCTACACAACTGTAAGTATGCTCAAAATCACCACTAAAATACATAATGAGGTGCATTTTGAGCTTTTGTCTTAGCATGATTGAGACCCTGGGTTCAGTAGTCAGTGTCTGAATGAATGAGAGAATATTAATATATCAAAATGTCCACAACCATACTTTGTGTTAATTTAATCATAAAAATACAAATCCTATAAACACAAATTCAGTAGGGAAATCCTTCTCATCTTCATCTTTTCCTAGGCACTGTGAGGCCCACCAGACACCTAGTCTAGGTAGAAGGGGAAGCCAGAGCTCCCACATTCATCCACTGAGGCCACCACAATCAGCAAGGCTTGGGGGAGGACAGCTCATACTTCTGAGCCCTGGAAACCCTTCTATCCTCTCTTCTCAGGACTCTTGGAGATTTTTACCCTCATACCCACCTTCCACTCTGGTCACCCTTGGGCTACCAGTTTAAGGTTATCTCTAGGCTACAAGTGCTAGTAATGGGCTTAGAGTTACAGCCAGTCCTTACTATAGGCAGAGAAGGCTATTCTAGAAAAATGCCCCAAACTCATCCCCATGGCAAAAGAAAAAGGAATGTATACATGCATACACAACCAAACAAACACACATGCAGACATATACACACTCCTCATTTTATGCACACAGACAGTTCTTCCCAAAATTATGGTCTTCTTCAACTGGGCTAAAGCCCAAATCATTTAGATCACCTAAGGCTGATTGCTGGCCTCACCTTTAGGGTGTTAGACACTGGTGGTCCTACTCAGAAGGGCCTGCCATGTGTGAAGATTCTAAGAAGGGCAGAACAACTGCCTGCCACCCCACTAGGCAGGGAGTAGAGAGGAACTCTAGGCAGTTCTAAGAAGCCACACCAATTCAGGGAGGGAGAATGAGTGGCACTGATAGATTCCTGGGGCCCTGGTGAAGCCATGGACCAGACTTGTACTTGCTTTGGCCTTCTGCAAGAAGCTTATCTCTCTTTAAGGATATACACAGAAAGGAAAGGCAACCAAAGTGCCTGATACTTTTAGCCCACAAACAGGATGACTGACAGGACTGGGACTGATAGTGGCTGATGAAGCTTCTGCTAAATCAAGGCAGAAAACCTGTGTTGGGAAACAGGAAGGGCACCTGGGATGTATGGGCAGCAGTTGGGGATGCCAGGGCAGCTGAAGATGAGCTGATTTGAGGCCATAAACAGGAAGAATAGCTGGCTTCATGTGTACTCCAGAGTGGCAGCGTCCTAGGAAACTGGCACCTAAAGCAGCAATCTGGGTTCAAAAGGGCCCTCAGACAAAAGCTGGCCTATGCCCTGTATGATGGGCCCCCAGCACGCACTTCCCTCAGCTCTGCTAGGGAATGGGAACCCACATGTGCATCAGAAATATGTGTGCTCCAGAGAAGCCCCAGGCTAACCCATCTGCACAGCTCTTCTAAACAGGCAGTGTCTCCTGTGGACACAAAGCTTTGTGTTTGGGAGAAAAGGAGAGGTGGTGGGGGAGGATTTCATACAAGATTTTATCCCACAGAAAACCGGAAGTGGCACTGTGGCTCAAGTGGTAGAGTGCTTGCCTTGAGCTGAGGAGCTGAGGTACAGCGCCCAAGCCCAGAGTTCAAGCCCCATGACCAACAAAAAAAAAAAAAAAAGAAAGAAAAAGATTTTCTCCCATAGTCAGTGTTTAAAAACAGTCTTAGAAGAGGATGAGGAGGAACAAATTCCACACTTTCTTTGGAACTCACACACAGAGAAAAACAGGCAGACAAACCATCGCCTACACCCAGCCTACAGGACCCCTTGCAGCCACTCCTCTCTTGGTCTCCCTGCTTTCCTCACACCTCCAGGGAAACATGGGCATATATCACCATACTTTCAGATGGAAGTGTTTTATATCTGTGCTGTTCAAAATGGTTGAAATGCTGATACTAGAATTTGAAATCCAGCCTTTGCTGTTGCAAGGCACTCTATTGCTAAGCCATGTCTCCAGCCCTACATGAGCAATTTCAAGCCAGGCACAGTGGTTTACACTTGTAATCTAGCTACTTAGGAGGCAGAGATTAGGAAGATCCCAGTTCAGACTTAGTCTGGGCAAAAAAAAGTCAACAAGACCCTGTCTCAACATGTCCTATAATTTCAGATGCATATGGGCATAGATCACAGTCTCGGGCTAAACAGGCAATAAGTACAAGAACAAAAGTTAGGTTACTTAGTTATTGCAGTTGATGCAACCATTGTAGAACCATGGTTGCCCTGGAAATAATACTGACTTTATTTTTCATTTTTGAAGCATTTTCTGAGCTACTGTTTATTCCATAGTTGATAGCAATGCCAAAATGAATGGCACCACTTCTGTCTTTAAGACCTATGGCCAAGGACTTGACAGTTACATTATAAGTACAATGCAAAAAGTAGCAATATAAGATCATATGCAGGGTAGAATGCTTGCCTCACATGCATGAGGGCCTGGGTTAGATTCCTCAGTGTCACATAAACAGAAAAAGCCGGATGTGGCACTGTGGCTCAAGTGGTAGAGCGCTAGCCTTGAGCTGAAGAGCTGAGGGACAGTGCCCAGGCCCAAATTTCCAGACCCAAGACTGACCAAAAGGAAAAATAAAAGATCATATGCAAAGTGATGTGAGAGGTCCAGAAAAGAAATCATGTAACGTTATTAGGAATTAAGGAAGGCTTCCCAGCAAACCTCAAAATTCAAGGTTTAAATGATTGAGCTGAAACCTTAAAATGGGAATTGAACACATTTTTTGCCTCTGTATTTTGTTGCTTTCTGTAAGAACAGGTTTCCTACGTTACTGGTAAATCATTTTCTTTTTCTTTTTTTTTTTGTCGGTCGTGGGGCTTGAACTCTGGGCCTGGGCGCTGTCCCTCAGCTCTTCAGCTCAAGGCAAGCGCTCTACCACTTGAGCTACAGCGCCACTTCTGGTTTTCTAGTGGTTTATTGGAGACAGGAGTCTCATGGTCTCTCCTGCCCGGGCTGGCTTTGAACTGCGATTTTCAGATCTCAGCCTCCTGAGTAGCTAGGATTACAAGCGTGAGCCACCAGCGCCCGGCTGGTAAATCATTTTCATAGTCATAACTTGTCCTTGTTTTTCCTTGGCTTCATACAAGTTCAGTATATGCTCAACATAGGATTCTGCTTGCCCCTCCACCCCTAGTTCTGTTGCCTTTAACCCTCCTTTCTTCTGCAGTGCTCTGTAAGAAGCTGCACCACAGCTTTTCATGTCACCTGTGCCTTTGAGCACAACCTAGATATGAAGACCGTCCTAGATGATAGCGACGAAGTAAAGTTCAAGTCATTCTGTCTCAAGCACAGCCAAAACAGGCAGTCACTTGGGGAGGTTGAGCCCCACAACCACAGAGCTGCCGAACCAAGCCAGACCAAGAATGAGAAAAATAACGTGAGGGCACAGAAGCTTCGTGAACTAGAAGAAGAGTTCTATTCCTTTGTGAAAGCAGAAGATGTGGCTGCAGAACTAGAGCTACCCATGGAAACTGTGGACTTTATCTATAACTATTGGAAACTCAAGCGCAAAAGCAACTTCAACAAACCATTATTTCCTCCCAAGTTGGAAGAAGAAAACATCCTGGTACAGCCAAAAGAAGAAAATATTCACACTCGCATGAGAATGTTTATGCACCTGCGACAGGACTTGGAGAGGGTAAGGAGACTGGTGCTGACTAGTGTGTAGATCATAGTCTGCATAAAAATAAAAGGTCCTACTTCCAGTTTAAAAAGGACCTCCTGGGTTTTGCCTATCTTCTGATTTTACTATGGTCTGGAGACATTGGGGCTCCTTTGAAATTTTGATTAGCACATTCAGGGATTGGCAAGGCCTCATGTATATGATTTTTGTTGTTTTCTATTTTCCTATCTTTTTTTTGCTGGTCCTAAGGCTTGAACTCGGTCTGGGTACTGTCCTTGAGCTTCTTTTGCTCAAGTCTATTGCTCTACCACTTGAGGCACAGTGCTACTTCCAGCTTTTTCTGTGATTAATTCGAGATAAGAGTATCACTAAGATATGAGCCACCCACATCCAGCTTTAGTTTTTTGTTCACTTTTTTTGGTCAGTCGTAGGGCTTGAACTCTGGGCCTGGGTGCTGTCCCTGAGCTCTTAAGCTCAAGGCCAGCCCTCTACCACTTGGGCTTTTTCTGTTTATGTGGTGCTGAGGAATCAAACCCAGGGCCTCATGCATGCAAGGCAAGCACTCTACCACTGAACCACCTTCCCAGCACCTTGTTTGCTATTTTGAGCCTAAATTGGCTTGACTGTATTTACTTACCCAATTTAGAGAATGAAGGCTGAGGAAAGAGTGAACTTTAGGTTCAGGAAAGTGCTAGCTGCACTCTGTGTAATTTAGACTAGATAGTACAGATTGTATGCCTTCATTTATAGGAAGTAGCATAAGATACTTGGCAGCATTGCTGGCCTCCTCCATTCCACACACATAGTTGTATGACCCACAGCTAATGACAGGTCCAGAGTTCTGCAAGCCCTGGCAGTCAAAAGCACATCAGGGGCTGGGAAGGTGGCTCAGTGGTAGAGCGCTTGCCTTGCATGCCTGAGGCCCTGGGTTCGATTCCTCAGCACCACATAAGCAAAAAGAAAAAAGCCGGAAGTGGCATTGTGGCTCAAGTGGTAGAGCGCTAGCCTTGAGCTGAAGAGCTGAGGGACAGTGCCCAGGCCCAGAGTTCAGGCCCCATGACCGGACCCAAAAAAAAAAAAAGCACATCAGGTTGACAGCCACACCACCAGATAATTTAACTCAGGATATATTCTTCAAGTATCCACTAAGTTAGGTGCTATAGGAATTCAAAGGTAAACTAGTTGCTATTTTTTATTCTGGAGAATATTTATGTTGATTATGCAGTTATAGAAATGGCTTGGTGGTGGGGGATTTCCCTTCTGCTACCAAAACTCCAAAAACTATGATATCTTTTTTTTTTTTTTTTGTCGGTCGTGGGGCTTGAACTCTGGGCTTGAGCACTGTCCCTGTGCTCTTCAGCTCAAGAGTGCTCTACCGCTTGAGCCACAGCGCCACTTCCGGTTTTCTAGTGGTTTATTGGAGATAAGAGTCTCATGGACTTTCCTGCCTGGGTTGGCTTTGAACAGTTATCCTCAGATCTCAGCCTCCTGAGTAGTTAGGAGTATAGGCGTGAGCCATTGGCGCCGGCTAAACTATGAGATCTTAAAAAGATATTTTTTGCCTGTCCTGTGGCTTGAACTCAGGGCCTGGGCACTGACCCTGAGCTTTTTCTTTTCCCTCAAGGATAGCACTCTGCCACTTGAGCCAGCACTATTTCTGGCCTTTTGTGTTTATGTGGTACTGAGGAATCCAACCCAGGGCTTCATGCATACTAGGCAGGCACTCCCAACCCAAGTACATTTATATTTGAACAGTGTCACCCTCTCCCTCATTTTATCCCAGTGAGATATGAAAAATTTTAAGATACACATAGAGTTCCTGTTGTTAACTGCTGTTGTTACCAACACTCTTCTAAACATTTTATAAATACTCTTAATCCTAACTTACTTAAGGAAAGAAACACTTAACCACCCCCATTTACAGAAGCATAAACTAGATCACAGAACAGGTGAGGGGTATGTGAGAGGAAGTTTTCCCCCTGGTGACTGAGGAAACTTGACTAAGCTGAAGGTATGAGCAAAAAAGCCACTTTCTACTGAGGAGGCTGAGATCTGAGAATCGCATGTAATTATTAAGCTCATAACACCACAAAAAGAAGAGATTTTTAAAGTTGGGCACAGTGGCTTACACCTATACTACCAGCTACTCAGGAAGCCCCAGAGATTGAGAGGGCTAGTCTGGGGAAAAAAAAACTAATGAGACCCCATTTCAACACACTAGTAATGATGGTACATGTCTGAAATCCCAGCTACACAGGAGGCATAGATAGTTAGGATCATGGTCCAAGTCTAGCCCCAGGCAAAAAGCATGAAAACCCTATCTGAAAATAGCTTAGAATAAAAATGGCCAGAGGGAGTGGCTCAAGTAGTAGAATACTTGTCTAGTAAGCATATGGCCCTGACTTCAAACCTCAAAGTTGCTGGGGGGGAAAAAAAACAGACTGCGGAAGGCAGCATTGGAGCATTTTGCTTTTGCTACTGATTAATATGGAATTAATGCCCCATAATGGCTACAAAAATTCCTGTGGAATTCTCTCACTGTGTGGCTCTTGAATCCAGTCATCATTCTTACCCATCCTCTACTTCAACCTTAGTCATCTTCATTTTAGATAAATAATTTTAACTGTCAAATTTTGTTACCATGACAAACATCTATTTTCTGGGGATTGGGCTTTTAGGTCCGAAATCTGTGCTACATGATAAGCAGAAGAGAGAAGCTGAAACTCTCTCAGAACAAGTTACAGGAGCAGATCTTCAACTTGCAAGCCCAGATTATGCACGACGAAATTGCTACAGGTAACCTGTGTGTTATAATTGTCTTAGTAAATATATAGACTCTGGTTTTATCCTTTTTAACAATTTAATTATGTCAAATGTTCCACAAAGTATTTTAAAGTTCTTGTCAGATATTTCATTTGCTTCAGTCCAGTCCTGATATGAACATAGCTCATGTTATCTCATGAGGCCAGAAATCTCAGGATAGGCTTAGAAATTGCAAGTGTCTAAACCCCAAACATATGTTTGAGGCCTTTAATTGGAGCCATGAAATTATTCTGTAATGATCTAATTCATTAAGATATCTCAATATGGGCTGGGAATGTGGATTAGTGGTAGAGTGCTTGCCTAGCATGCATGAAGCCCTGGTTTCTATTCCAGAAAAGGCCAGAAGTGGCACTGTGGCTCCAGTGGTAGAGTGCTAGCCTTGAGCACAAGAAACTCAAGGACAGAGCCCAGGCCCTGAGTTCAAGCTCCAAGACTGGCAAAAAAAAAATCTCTATAGATTAGAAGATCCCATCTGTAATCCTAGCTACTCAGATGGCTGAGGTCTTGAGGATAGTGGTTCAAAGCCAGCCCAGGCAGGAAAGTCTATGACATCTCCAGTTAACCATAAAAAATCCAGAAATAGGGATGTGATTCTAATAATAATAATAATATGATAAGATTGAATCTTAGTTCCCATAAAGCATTTAATTCCAGGGTTATTCACCAGTAGTCATAAAATCTTGGCCAGAAGTTAAGAGAAATATGCCTTATTTTTTCATTTATTCATTAACATTTGTTGAGCACCAACTAGGGACTAAGATCTAAACTATGCAAGCCTAGCTGGAATAATGACAGTCATATTCAGTAATACCTGTAGCCTCCCTGCTTCTCATTTAACACAGATAGGTAACAACCTGGGCCACTAGGGGTCACTGAGATAGGTATTCAGAATCAGCTCTTGTCAGGGGCCAGCCAAATGAGGTTGTGGGATATTTTTATGTGGTAACAGGTGGAAGCAAAGTGGTATAGTAGGAGACAGTGATAGCATTACAGGACAATGTGACTAGCAAAGCAAGAAGAACCAAAGAACAGCAAGGAAAAGCCTCTGTGTGCTGAAGAGATTGATTCTAGCCCTTTGTTTTGTAATTGTAGAAGTCATAGCCTCCGAATGGCTGGCAACATCAACAGGTGGCAGAAATGGGGGCTGTGGGTCTCACACACTGCCCATGGGGTACCTTTTTAATTTGGAAGTGTTCAACATAATAAAGACCTATGATCATGTGGAGACATAGCCAGGGAACTGGCCAAAGGTGGGAATATTGTCATTCTTTTCTGATTCTTACATTAGAACCTCCCTGTAACCACTATCATGGCAACTTGTAGTCAGGATATTGTTACAGGTTAAGAGCCTAAACTTCTTAGGAACCACCCACTTTCTTTTTGTCATTGGGCTTGGGCGCTGTCCCTCAGCTCTTCAGCTGAAGGCAAGCGTTCTACCACTTGAGCCACAGTGTCACTTCTGGCTTTTTCTGCTTATGTAAGTGCTGAGGAATCGAACCCAGGGCCTCATGCATGCAAGGCAAGTACTCTACCACTGAGCTACCTTCCCAGCCCATCCACCACCCACTTCTAATGACAGATTACAACATACATGTACTCTTCCTAACCAAAACCTTTGCTGCATTTATGAGGAAGGCCAGGAGAGAAGGGAGGGATATGATCTGAGATGTCCATATTCAAGGCATGTCTTTAGCAGTGCCATGGATTACCGATGCTTGTACAAACCAAGACTCACAAGTAGACAGTGTCAATTTCAATCTGCTGCTAGTGACCTTGTGTCTGTAGGGGAAGGAGGCAGACTAGGGGTACAAGGAGTAGCATACTAGTCTTTGTAATCCTTTTACAGACAGGGAAAAGAGAGGTTAGGAAGTTGGGAGCGATGGAACAGAGTGGCACTACTAAGATTATCACCCTTAGCCCCATCCTCTAGTGCTGCTTTCACCACTTACACCATGATGTACTTACATATCAATGATAGGTTTTTGGTGAGCACTAGTAAGAGTGGATCCATCAGCTCCCTCTGCCACAAGCACATAAACTATTATCAGTTGATAAATCATTCTTTTCCATCTCAGGATCTTCTTTGACAAATGCACTGGAGAATGCACTATTTTCCTCACCATCAAAAGTTGCCTTAAAGTCGGGGGCCAGACCAATACCAGAAGATTGCAGAAATGGCACCATAGAGACTGATCATCGACCCTGCTCCCCTAGCAGTGGCTTGCTTACTCTCAGTAAAAGAAGCCTACAGGTGCCTGAAGAGCCACTGGACCTGCAAGTGAAATCATATTCAATGCCTCCACTAGAAAGCAAGAAAAACTGTTTGCTCGACAGCCTCAACCACTCTCAGAATGAAGCCAACAGTCCCAGTCCTACTCAGAAATCTCCATCTTCTGAGCTTTCTCATGGGTCGTCAGTGGAGGTGGAAAAGTCTCCAGTCTTTGAGGCTGTCCTCTATGGACAGTCTCGTAGCAACAATGGAAATAGTGAGCCTAGCCCCAAGTCTGCCAAGTCAAATGGCCTTGAGGACAATCTGCCTGTGAAAGTCATCCAGGAAGCTAGTGCTAGTGAGATACTCGGTAACCAGGAGCCCATGGTAGGCTCCCACTTAGCTGGTCAGAGTAGCTTTAGAAAATCAACTGTGGAAAAATTCAGATCCTTTAAAGAAACAACCAAAAAATGGAGAAGGAGCACTGAGGGCCCCCGATGCTATGTGAAACCAACTAAGAATATAAATCCTAAAGATCAGTTCCGGGGTAGGCAGCTTCTCAGGCGATCCTCTGAGAAAGCTGCATATCCAGAGACCGATGGTTATTGCCCAGATTTGGAACTGAGTGATTCCGAGAGCAAAAGTGATGGAAGTAAGGAAAAAGACCTTGTAAACAAAGATAGCTCAGACAAGGAAAGCCCTCCTCAGGATTCTGAACAGGATTGCCATAGGGAAAGCGAGGTACATCCTCTTCCCCATGGTTCAATGCAGAGATGATTAAAAACTGCCAGTAGTCCAATATTTGCCCCAGTTACTGGGACAAATCCAAACACCAAATGATTCTGGCATATATTAGGAGGAAATACAGTAAAAGGGAATTTTTTCCACAGTAAATTGAATTGCAGTATTTGAAAAGGTTTCAAGTCTTAATTTTTACAAGTATATAGTAAGATTATGTCTGGAAGTTGGTTTGTCAGAGGTTGGTTTGGAAACAGCTAGGTCCAGAGTTATTTGTTCAGTGAATGCTCAGGGACTGCTTTCCAGTTACATTAACATACTGCTAAGTATGTATTAAGGGTCCTTACATTGCTAATGGTCTCTGTTTATGTATTAAGGGTCCTTACATTGCTAATGGTTTACAAGAGACCATGATTATCAGACACTAAAACTACTTACTATTTGAAACTACAATATAATTCCCAGAGCTCCAGTCTCTGGAAAGTTTCTAATACTGGTGTCTCAAGGGAGAGACTGGGAGAGATTATCTATCAGATACTGTCAAGCTCACTACCCTCTTCCTTTGCTTCTGGCTAGGTGGAGTTTCTTTGACAGAATCATAACTTACCAGCTTCTGGCTAGGTGGAGTTTCTTTGACAGAATCATAACTTACCAGTCAGTTCTCCTAATGCTTGAAGTGTCCAGTGCCTGTTCTTAGACCTGCTTGTTGGGGACATACTCATAACTCTTTTACCCAGCTAACAAGCATAAAAGGCTAACTTGTAATAGTGTTTACAAAAGTACACATGTACTACTTCCAAGGAAAATGCTCTGGTTCTCTGTTTAGGGATTTGCGAAGAATCCCAGAGTCTTTCCCAAAGTGAGATCATTTCTGGGATATTTGTACCAGATCAGGGTTTTCATGTTGTTTTCAAATGAGTTTGGCTGACAGTTTTTGTATTCCTGCTTTAATGTTTATAAGAAATTTTATTGAGGTATAAGGAAAATATAATGAAGTGCACAGAGGTTAAGTATTCTTATTTGCTTTAATTTTGAAACAGATTTTTATTTTCAAACAGAATTTAAGTCATGTGTTTATCACATGCATATAATTTAGCTTTGTGTCCATTTTGAATCCAAGGCAATTTTCCAAACAAAAAGGCTGGAGCCATTTTTCACAGGTTGTTTGTATACCCTCCTCCAAAACTCTCAGCCTTGGTTCCGTCTTTCTAGAGGAAGAGAATAATTACATTTCAGGGGAAGGGGTGAAACACGTTTGCTTCCATTTTGAAAAGAAGGCAAAATATCAGTTTTAAAATGTGAAGCAAACTGGGATGCTCAGCTCTCTTGTTGTTAGCCTTAAATCAATATTCTCTTTTTTCTAGCTTGGAAAAATGTAGTAACAATTTTCAAACAGAAGAGGCCATTTTCAATTTCTAAAGTTTTGTATTGGTGAAATAGCCCGGCTCTGATAAGGCACCAGTGAGTGAAGCCTACGCTGGTTTGGTGGCTACAGAAAACTCAATGCACTTTGCTTCACCCCACTTTTGTTCTGACTTTGTCAAGAAAAGGTTCTTGTGCTTTTCTCCCTTTCTGGAAACTTCTGTATTTTACATGTTGCTTGGCTGTCTTCAGAATGTTTCTTCTGTGCCTATGTACAAGTGTGAATATGCCATGACATGTGATGTAGAGCGTTTGAATGGAAAAATGGAGAGAACTTGCCCCTACACCTGACTAAGCTTCTGTGCATAAAAATTTGACACTTTCATGGTAACAAAATTATAAGAGAATTATAAGAGAATTGAAAAGGCCTCTTGGTGTTAGAGGCCAATACAGGATTTTATATTCATCCTGTCATGCCTTTCCATTTTCTGTGCATGGAAGAGAAAGCAAATGGGAACAATATACGTCAGCCACTTTCCATATGCAATGCCATGGGAAAATATCATTTCAATCAGGGAAATATAGTAATAATATTTTTGCAGCATTTTTCTAAATAAATGAAGGAGCCTTCCATTGTATACATTTCAACTGCCCCAGATTGCATTTGCTACATTTTGTTTGAAGTATTACCTCTTGCCTCTATTAATTTTTTATCTTAGACAGTCTGGTTTTTCAAGATAAATACAATCTGTTTTCAAAGTCACCTTTTTACCAATACTTTTTCATTAAATTATGAAAATAACTACTGTCTGCATGGCATTTTTATTTTAGCATACTTGTTTTAAGAAAATCTTAATGTGTTCTTTGTATACTTAAAATTATATTCACTAAGCAAAACAATGGGTAGAGAAATGAAGAGGAGGGATTGTTTAGAAACAAAGGAATTGAATGTTAAAAAGCCCAGACTGATTATAGTGGCACACACCTGTAATCCCAACACTCAGAAGGCTGACACAGGAGGATTGTTAGTTAAAGGCTAGCTGAGCTATATACCTAGACCCTATCTCTAACAAGCAAAAAAAAAAGACAGATTCATGATTCGTGTCAATACAGGGGGCCAAGGAACATTCTAGGTACTTATTTGGACTTTACCCAGAAACTATTATTTCATCAGGCTGAGAAGATAAAGACCTTAGAGTCATCGAAAGGAATCACCAGAGAGATGGGTCCTAGTAGTGACAAGGCTCAGAAAGTTCAGTAAATTGAGGATCATGTAAGTAAGTATTCTTTACAGTGTTTGTTCCATTTGGAGTTCTATACATATAACAAAATTAGGGTTATGTGATATGGGAGATACTCAGAGGGTAACATAAACATTTTCATCATGTTAGCAGAATGAACTTGTGAAAGTCATTGGTTAAATCAATACTGATGAAAGCTTTCTCCCCTTTTTCTTCTCTTCCCTACAGGTGAATATTATCTGGTTCTAGTAGCTTATTCTGAAGAAGTAAAACTACAGGTTGTTGGGTATAACTAGCCAACAAAAACTGCTGGGATGGGCTTGGAAGGTAGCTCAGTGGTAAAGTATTTGCCTTGCATGCATGAGGCCCTCAGCACCACATAAGCAGAAAAGGCCAGAAGTGGTGCTGTGGCTCAAGTGGTAGAGCAGGAAAAAAATAACTAATCATAACCAATTTAATTACCTTTTCATCAGCCTTAATATGACTATTAGCTATTTTGTCCCTAACTGACTATTTGCAGGTTTTGTGAAAAGTGTCATATATATATTTGTGAAACATGGTGCTTGAACTTGAGGCCTGGGAGCTGTCCCTAAGCTCTTTTTTTCAAGGCTAGCACTCTACCACTTTGAGCCACCAATTTCTAGTTTGCTGGAGGTTAATTGGTCCTCAGATCTCAGCCTCCTAATTAGCTAAGATTACAGGCATGAGCCACCAGCACCTGGTGTATATTAGTTTTGTTCTTGGTCGTGGGGCTTGAACTTGGCCTGGGCACTGCCCCTCAGCAATTCAGATCAAGGCTAACGCTCTACCACTTGAGACATAGTGCCACTAACAGTTTTTTGAGTGATTCATTGGAGATCAAAGTCTCACAGACTTTCCTGCCCAGGCTGGCTTTGAACCATGATCTTCAGATCTCAGCCTTTTGAGTAGCTAGGATTACAGGTGTGAGCCACCAGCACCCAGCTATTAACATTTTTTCCAGTCCTGGTGCTTGAACTCAGGGCCTGGGCACTGTCCCTGAGGCTCTTTTGCTCAAGGCTAGCACTCTACCACTTGGGCCACAGTACCACTTCTGGCTGTTTCTGTGTATTTGGTACTGAGGAATTGAACCCAGGGCTTCATGCATGCTAGGCAAGCACTCTACCACTGAGTTGCCTTCCTAGATGATACATATTAATATTCTTTTTTTTTTCATTTGTGCTTATGGGATTGTCATATATCTTTTTTTAAATAAGTTTTTACAGAGGGGTTACAGTTACATGAGCAAGGTAATGAGTACATTTCTTATCAAGCATTGTTGCCTCCTCTGTTTTTCCCCTACCATCCCTTCCCTCCCACTTCCTCAACTAAACTCCCCCACCCTCCCACCCCCGCCTAAATTGTAAAGTTCATTTTTCAATATAGCATCTTGTACATCCCATTGTTGTAATGGGTCATTCTTAAAGTAACTTTTAGTTTGTGATAAAATAAAGACCTACCTCTTGGGGTTGTAAGTCCTATGCAGAGCTTTGAGGCTTCTAGGAGTACCATCGATTTTTTTCCTCATAGATTGGAACAGATTGTATTGCCAAAAGATGTGAGGATCATTGTCCTTAAAAAATGAGTCTAGTTAGCCGGGCACCAGTGGCTCACACCTGTAATCCTACCTACTGTCCGTGACTCTCTAGTAAACCACCAGAAAACAGAAGTGGCGCTGTGGCTCAAGTGGTAGAGTGCTTGTCTTGAGCTGAATAGCTGAGGAACAGTACCCAGTCCCAGAGTTCCAAGCCCCACTACCGACAAAAAAAAGTGGAGTTAAGGAAGCTCACAAATCCAAAACCCGATCTTTTGCTTTTTCATTGTTGCTAAATTCTTAGACTTCATGCTTCCTAAATACATTAATCATCTTGATAAATTCCAGCCTTCTCATCTTGTTTAGGTGGATTGAGCTGTGAACATTTCTCAGGGCCTGACTATCCCAAACTTTGAGGGTCCTTCTCTCCCCCACACTACTCCTTTCATCCTTTTTCCATTTCATATATGATCAATGATTAGTCCTTAAAACAAGCTAGTGAAGCTGGGCACTAGTGGCTTATGCCTGTAATCCTAACTACTCAGAAGGCTGAGATCTGAGGACTGTGCTTCAAAGCCAGCTTGGGCAGTAAAGTCTGAGACTCTAGTCTCCAATAAACCACCAGAAAACCAGAAGTGGTGCTGTGGCGTAAGTGGTAGTGCTCACTAGCCTTGAGCTGAAGAGCCCAGGGACAGAGCCCAGGTCCAGCCCCACAACCAACAAACGAAAAGCTAGTGCTAGATACTGGTGGCTTATACCTGTAATCCTAGCTGCTCAGGAGGCTGAGATCTTAGGATCACGGTACAAAGCCAGCCAGGGCAGGAAACTCAGTGAAACTTATCTCCAGTTAACCACCAGGAAACTGAAAGTGGAGCTGGGGCTCGAAATGGTAGAGTGCTACCCTTGAGCAAAAATGCTCAGGAACAACACCAGGCCCTGTGTTCAAGCCCCATGAACAACCAACAACAACAACAAAAAGAAACGGGGTTGGGAATGTGGCCCTGAAAGTGGCTCGTGCCTATCTGTTTTTTGTTTTTTGGGTTTTTTTTTGGGTCTGGTCATGGGGCCTGAACTCTGGGCCTGGGCGCTGTCCCTCAGCTCTTCAGCTCAAAGCTAGCGCTCTACCACTTGAACATCAGCGCCACTTCTGGCTTTTTCTGTTTATGTGGTACTGAGGAATCAAACCCAGGGCCTCATGCATGCAAGGCAAGCGCTCTACCACTGAGCCACCTTCCCAGCCCTCATGCCTATCTGTACTCATAGCTACTCAGGAGGCTGAGATCTGAGGATCACAGTTCAAAGCCAGCCTGAGCAGGAAAGTCCATGAGATTCTATCACCAATAAAATATTAAAGGGGGAATAAAGCCAGAAATTGAACTGTAGCTTAAGTGGTCTGCACTAGGCTTGAGTAAGAGCTTTCAGTGGCATGCCAGATACCAGTGGCTCATG